ACTTTAAAGGTTTATGATATAGAGTCGACTGCAATCACTGCATGAATTTAATAATCGAAAAACAACATTCGACGTTCAGTGCTTGGTTATTTATATTATTTGTGCTGTTTTGATGTTTTGAAGGTTTAGCTATAATGGAGAATTAACTCTTACTTAAACTGTGAAAGTCTATAACTTAATGCAAAGGAAAGCAGCAGGAAAACGCGTGATTTCACTTCACTTTTACGACTGTGTTTGTTTTCTAATTTTAATCGATTTCAGCTTTCTCTGACGTAATCCTTAAAGTGCTCGGCCGCGCATTATAAAAAACACAGTTGATTGACATAAAAGCTTCGCAGCTGCCTCATGCATGCATATTTTTAAATGTGACAGTTAAACTTGGCAACGACATGCGACTGTTGATCCAGATGCGCACGTTCTGACAGGGTGATTGATATTTTCACCTTACTACTTTATTCAATCCCACAAAATGTCATGCATGAAAGGAAATGTGATTAATTCACTAATAATAACACACATTCACTAATCCCTGTCGTGCTATTGATATTCCTATTTTTACAGCTATTTTCATACGGGTATCTCTAAACACAATAAAGCCTTGCGTATCATATGTTTTGGTTAACTAGTATATTCTAAGCCTTGGAATTGATATGTTTTTCTTGTAGGAGCGCCCAGAGCGGGGTGGTGCTGAGGTCCCTAAAATACTAGTAAAATAAAATAACACTATTGTTGGAAGTGTATTGAGACAAGAGAAATAATTCTTAAAGAAATTCCAATAATATCTCGCAACGCGCAAAATCTGACATAGTGAATGTTGAGCGAAAAAAATTGAAAAAAATTAAAAAATATTTACGGGAGCCAATCACGTTGCATAACCTTCCAAACAAATCCGTCGATTGGAAAACGGACTTAAAATTAATAATGGAAAAAATAATGTTAATTATATAACTATATATGTATATATATATATATATATATATATATATATATATATATATATATATATATATATATATATATATATATATACATCATATCAGCATAAAATTAATTTAAATTAAAAAAAAACTGTTATTGACAACATTTTTAAACTGACGTGACCAATAGTTAGTCATTCAGTTTTACAACATTTTGCAAATTATATTCCACAGCATTGCTCCAGTATAAAGTAAAAAAAAATCCGAATAAACTAGACATCTTGAGAATCAATATTTCAATCAAGCAAGACACAAGTTGCAACCGTAATTTTTCGAACCGAATCAGCTTTGGAATAAAGTCGAAAACTTACAATTTCAACCTGTGTCTTGTTTGATTCAAATATTGAATCGGCTTGTCGTCGTTTTTGCTCCAGAATAACTTATGCTCTTTTCATGAAATTAGTTTTAGGCTTCGGAATTTGAAAATTAACGCTGTTCCTTTTCAAATTATGTTATTGTTAGAAACTGGTTATGTCAGCTATTGCTTGATTTACGCAGTTATTTCTTACTTTGTTCATGAGAATTGCTTTTTTTGCCTTCAACCCTACTTCATTCAATATATCGTTTCATCTTATTTCATACGATTTGCAAGTTAAGGCCGGCCTCCACTTTCACATAGTACGCGAAATCGCACGTACGGCTTGCAAGTTGCCGGCCGCCTTGAGTTAAAGTGGACTACAGTTTTACTCTCACATGTACAAAAATTAGCCTCGTTTGGGACCTGTTTAGAGTCACTGGGCATGCGCCAAATTGGCCGCATTGAAAGTACGTGCAAGTGGAGGCTGGGTTTTATGACCCTCGCAAGCCAGTTTTGCATTCTTTGTAACTTGTCAATCAAATAATGCAGGAGGTATTCCAAAATTTCCTTCATGAATTGAAATTTTTCGCGTGACGCGATTTTTCTACATTTCCTGTATAGGCACATATAAAAAGCAAAAGTCGAGAGAAAGGATGAGCGTAGGTGAAGAAGAAATGAAACGGCAATTTCGGGATGAACCAAGACAGGAATTTGAACGTACAGTTACTGATTTAAATGGCAAAGATACCGATTGCTTCACTGTGCAGCACTCTGTTGTTACCGAAGGTGCTCTTGAGATAGTAAAATATCTTGTTAAAAAGGGCGCTGATGTAAATGGCAAAAATACAAACGGGTGGACTGTGCTGCACTCTGCTGTTAAAGAAGATACGCTTGAAATAGTGAAATATCTTGTTGAAAAGGGCGCTGACGTAAATGCTAAGGACACTGACGAGAGGACCGTGTTGCACACTGCTGCTACAGAGGGTAAGCATGAGATATTAAAATATCTTGTTGAAAAGGGCGCTGATTTAAATGGCAAAAAAACAAACGGGTGGACTGTGCTGCACTTTGCTGTTGCAGAGGGTAAGCTTGAGCTAGGAAAATATCTTGTTGCAAAAGGCGCCGATGTGAATGTCATGTATAAGAACGAATGGAGTGTGCTGCACTATGCTGTTACAAAAAATACGCTTGAGACAGTAAAATATCTTGTTAAAAAAGGCGCTGATGTAAATGGCGAGGGTACTGACGGGTGGACTGTGCTGCACTCTGCTGTTACAGAGGGTACGCTTGAGATAGTAAAATATCTCGTTGAAAACGGCGCTGATGTAAATGGCAAGGTTACGGACGGGTGGGCTGTGCTGCACTCTGCTGTTACAGAGGGTGCGCTTGAAAAAATAAGATATCTTGTTGAAAAGGGCGCTGATGTAAATTCCAAAAAACCTAACGGGTGGACTGTGCTGCACTCTGCTGTTAGAGAGGGTACGCTTGAAATAGTAAAATATCTTGTTGAAAAAGGCGCTGATGTAAATGCCCAAAAAACTAACTGGAGTACTGTGCTGCACTATGCTGTTAAACAGGGTACGCCTGAGATAGTAAAATATCTTGTTGAAAAGCGTGCTGATGTGAATGGCAAGGATACTGACGGGAGTACTGTGCTGCACTATGCTGTTACACAGGATACGCCTGAGATACTAAAATATCTTGTTGAAAACGGCGCTGATGTGAATGGCAAGGATAATGACGGAAGTACTGTGCTGCACTCTGCTGTTACAGAGGATACGCTTGAGATAGTAAACTATCTTGTTGAAAAAGGCGCTGATGTGAATGGCAAAAAAACAAACGGGTGCACTGTGCTGCACTCTGCGGTTGCTAAAGGTAGGCTTGAAATAGTAAAATATCTTGTTGAAAACGGCGGTAAGGTAAATGGGAAGGATACTGACGGGTGGACTGTGTTGCACTCTGCCTTTACAGAGGGTACGCTTAAGAAAGTGAATTATTTTTTGGAAGAAAACTCTGATGTAAACGCCAGAAAAACTGACGGGTTGACTGTGCTGCACTCTGCTGTTAGAGAGGGTACGCTTGAAATAGTAAAATATCTTGTTGAAAAGGGCGCGGATGTAAATGGCAAAAAAACAAACGGGTGGACTGTGCTGCACTCTGCTGTTACAGAGGGTACGCTTGAGATATTAAAATATCTTGTTGAAAAGGGCGCTGATGTAAATAGCAAAAAAACAAACGGCTGGGCTGTGCTGCACTCTGCTGTTACACAGGGTACGCTTGAGATAGTAAAATATCTTGTTGAAAAGGGCGCTGATAAAAATACCAAGGATAATGACGAGTGTACTGTGCTCCACTCTGCTGTTACAGAGGGTACGCTTGAGATAGTAAAATATCTTGTTGAAAAGGGCGCTGATGTAAATGCCAAAAAAACTAACGGGTGCACTGTGCTGCACTCCGCTGTTAGAGAGGGTACGCTTGAAATAGTAAAATATCTTGTTGAAAAGCGTGCTGATGTAAATGGCAAGGATACTGACGGGAGTACTGTGCTGCACTATGCTGTTACAGAGGGTACGCATGAGATATTAAAATATCTTGTTGAAAAGGGCACTGATGTGAATGGCAAGGATAATGACGGGAGTACTGTGCTGCACTATGCTGTCACAGAGGGTACGCATGAGATATTAAAATATCTTGTTGAAAAGGGCGCTGATGTGAATGGTAAGGATAATGACGGGAGTACTGTGCTGCACTATGCTGTCACAGAGGATACGCATGAGATATTAAAATATCTTGTTGAAAAGGGCACTGATGTGAATGGCAAGGATAATGACGGGAGTACTGTGCTGCACTATGCTGTCACAGAGGGTACGCATGAGATATTAAAATATCTTGTTGAAAAGGGCGCTGATGTGAATGGTAAGGATAATGACGGGAGTACTGTGCTGCACTATGCTGTCACAGAGGATACGCATGAGATATTAAAATATCTTGTTGAAAAAGGCGCTGATGTGAATGGCAAAAAAACAAACGGGTGCACTGTGCTGCACTCTGCGGTTGCTAAAGGTAGGCTTGAAATAGTAAAATATCTTGTTGAAAAGGGCGCTAAGGTAAATGGCAAGGATACTGACGGGTGGACTGTGCTGCACTCTGCCTTTACAGAGGGTACGCTTAAGAAAGTGAAGTATTTTTTGGAAAAAAGCGCTGATGTAAACGCGAAAAAAACTGACAAATGGACTGTGCTGCACTCTGCTGTTAGAAAGGGTACGCTTGAAATAGTAAAATATCTTGTTGAAAAGGGCGCTGAAGTCCACAATCATACTCTTGGTATTGATATTTTGATAATAGCAATTGCGAAAAATTCGATTGATTTGGTCACTCTTCTGTTAAAAAAGAACGTCAACTTATGGAGAGGTGGGACATTTGTTGTTGATGGAAGAAAGTGGAGTCTGCTTGAAATGAGTATTCACCTTGGTCATGATGAAATTGCAACTATTCTTAAAAGGTCCGTAAAACATCGTGAGAAAATTCAGGTGCTTGGTACAACGAAATGCAACCAATTAGAGAAGGTAATACTTGAAATCTATTTTAAACATACATGAGTTTTTTTCACTTAATTTGGTTAGTAACACTTATTAATAACCGAAACATTAAACAGGAAATTAGATATTAGTTTTGAACACTCTGGAGCTTCTATATTCTTTTCTGTAAAAACCTGCTAGCGGATTTGCGGAATAGGAAAAACGTAAATTGAACAAAGGGGAGAAAATCGAGCCCTCAAAAAATCGGTCACTACTCAGTGTATTGTGTATTGGTATAAATTAATGACAAATATAAACTGCCACTCATTACGGGTTACAAATTTTAAGTGAAATGCAGCGACTGAATACACGTTTGTGTCTTTATCTTTTCCCAGTCATCTCTTGGGTAGTCTTCGGGATGGTAAAGACAATTAATATTGCGTGCCAAAAAACTTGATCTTGCTTATACTATGATAAACGTATACAATATTATATCGTTGTTATCCTGATTACAATTCTCTCACAAGTGCGAATATGAAGTATTACGCATTCGCATAGGACTGATGAAAACGCAGAAAACTAGCTATGGTACGCGTGCTCAAAAAATTATCCTGACAAACAAAAGTCGATGGAATGGAGACGCATGTCAAAAATTGCCGGTCGAAAATCACATTCTTTCAACACTGGGAATTGAACAAATAATTTCATTGGTGTATGGTTCATTAAGCTCCTACCAAATTTCAATTTTGTCCTTTTTGCTACCAATCGAGCACGTTTAATTTCGGTCGCTTATTTCAATTCTAAAAACATTTGACTATTACTTCCTGATATGAATTGAAACTACATATCCCATCTTTCATACTGCACAAATATTAAATTGAATATATGCGGCCTAAATGTCTGTTTTAAATTCTCCCCGTATTTTAGATAGCCTTCTGTAATTAGTTGATTAATTACAGTACATACATTATTATACTGTATAAAACCAAGAATATATGGCGGGTGTCCGAAAAAAAGGACTTCTGTTTGATTGATAATAACTTTTTAATGACACAAGCCATCAAACTGAAATAAATTTTATTAGATGGAAGCTAGTTAGCTTAGAATTTTGTATATTATAGTTATATTTTGCCAAAAATCCTTAATAGCCTTTATTCATAGATGTGTGTATATATATATATATATATATATATATATATATATATATATATACATATATATATATATATATATATATATATATATATATATATATATATATATATATATACATCGCATATATATATATATATACATCGCATATATATATATATACATCATATATATATATATTAATATATATATATATAATATATATATATATATATATATATATATATATATATATATATATATATCGCTACACTGTGTTTCACGTACTAGTTTTACTACGATCCTCAGGCGATAACTATTTACAACGGTTTACGCACACGCGTTTTTGATTGATTACGCGAGAGTTTTAACGTGCATATTTGCGTGCGCTTAACATTACAAACCTTAAAACCATATCTATGCTGGCATTTACTATTAAACAGTTCTGTCCTTTTGTTCAACGATTTGTTTTTGTCTGATAGCATGATTAATCTTTTTTCCTCGGTGCATAAATTGCAAACTTTCATTTTTGGACATGCAGCGGGAACTTGCTTCATCACTGACCATTTTATCTCAAATGGTTTATCTTGCGACTTGAGCCCCCAAACATACTTCGAGATGCGTAAACCGTTGTAAATAGTTATCGCCTGAGGATCGTACTAAAACTAGTACGTGAAACACAGTGTAGCGATGAAATACAATTTTATGATTATATTTTGTTGATTTATGTTTGCTCTACTATTTACTGGTATTGAGCACTCTGGTTTACTACGCACAAATCCAAGATTATATACATATTATATATATATATATATATATATATATATATATATATATATATATATATATATATATATATATATTAAATAATATATATATATATATATATATTTATATATATTTATGTATATATATATATATATATATATATATATATATATATATATTTGTACGTTTTTGCTCTCAATTGAGCCATGTGTTCACTTGTTGATATTTATGTAAGGTGTATTTGTTCTTCTGCACAAGTATGACCAACCGGGCAAGCAGAAAATTCTAGAATGTAATAGTTGTAGAAAACGGGTGACATCACCTTCAATGTTATGATATTGTTACTAAATGATAAAAATATTGGCTATCGACGCTTTGCCATTGAGTCATTCCATAATATAAACTTATTATATATAGCTAATCTATATCATTTTCTTGGTTGAAAATGGGCAGGGGTGCTGCACGCATGTATTTCTAGTTAATTAATTATGTCGCCGGAGATTAGGAATTACACCCAGGTATTATTGTAACAGAACATAGCGTAATCCAAACGGTAGACATTCGATTTTGCCAGTCATGTGAAGAAACAAAATATGCGCAAAATAAAATGAGAACAAATAGGATAAAGAATAACAAATAACTATTAAAAAACGTGGATACATTTCAAGACAAAGCGGTGTAAGAGAAATAATTCATAATATGCAAGCTTATAGGTTAAATCGGTACGTATTTACTTTGTTTATTCCATGTTTGCTTCGCGCTAAGGATGCAGTTTATTTGTATACTTAGCTTCGTATGTCATTTTGTAAATACCTACCCACCTCTGAGAGGCTATTACACCTTCGCTTCAACCTCAAAAAGGGTTTTTGAAAGTGTAATTTAAATTTTGATAGGACAAATATCAGTACACACTATAAAACTATTAGGATCGACTGCAATCACAGAATATAATAATATATTTGAGGTATTTTCTTTCTGTCAGAAAATTTTGTACTTTTTTGTACTTTTTCGAATTTATGACATTTACTTAATTGCTGCAAGGGAGACCATAAACGTCCAGCTTAATGGCATATAATAAAGCAAAAATTGAAGGGCCAATTTTTTTCACTTTATAATCATTTTTCTTCCGAATGATAGAAACATTGGCTTGATATAGTCAATAAAATGTAATATTGACTGATTTGACTTTTGAGTCATTTCATAATATAAGTTTAGGTCAGGTTAGCTCAGGAAATTGTGTACCTATCTGGTTTGACATAGCGAGGCGTTGCTGAATGAATGTATTTCTAGTATTTTTATAGCGTATTTTTTATATTTTAAAGACATCCCGAAATATTGTACGGATTTTGTAAAGTAATGTCTCCATTAATTTTTTTCAAAAAAACGACTATAACATATCAAAATCTAAGTTAATCTTTCCTCAAACTAATGAAAGTTGTTTCATTTCGATATTTTTTCTTGATAAGAAGCTATTTAATTTTTAATCAAACCGGAGTCCTTTTTGTTTGGGGACATCCGTACATTATGTTTTATTTTTAAGTCATTAATGGCATTTCTATGCCATTGCTTTTTTTTTATGCATAGACTGAAATTCCGATACAGGCTTTTGTCGCCGAGAGGCAATTCAGAATTGGTGATGGTGCTTCCTCTTGTGTCTATGTTGGTCTCATGAAGGATGGAAGCGAAGTTGCTGTTAAGAGAATGGCGGTGCAAAAGTTCGATAAAATAGCTGAGAACGAAAAGGAAATTATGAGTCTCCTAAAAACAGAAAATTCTCCATTTATTGTGAGCTATCGACATTTTCATAACGACGGGAATTTCATACATCTAATTGTTGATCTTTGCGAGGAAACCCTGACTGAACTTGTCGGCTCTCAATCTATTGAGCATCTGCAAAAGCAAGGTCCAAGAATGATCAAAGAAATTCTATCAGGACTGGAATTTCTTCATGGTAAAGGAATATTACACAGAGATCTCAAACCATTAAACATCCTTGTTGATATCGAAGGCAGTTTGAGATTGGCAGACTTTGGATTAAGCCGAATTCTAAAGGACGACGAAACGGCAGTTGCAACAGATGCTAAAGGCACTGAAGGATGGATACCGCCAGAAGTGATTGAGGCAGGAGAAAAACAAGAAAAAGGTCCATTCAAAAAGAAATCAGATGTTCATGTCGCGGGTATGATTGCTTTCTACGTTTTAACTAAAGGTGAACATCCTTTCGGATCTAAGTTAGATCAAACGAAAAATGTTTTGAAAGGAAACTCTGTCAATTTGAAGAAACTTGGTGATCGTAAAGCTCGAAATTTTGTGTCGTGGCTGATTAATCACAAGATTGATAAAAGACCTTATGCTGACGAAGCGCTGAGAGATTCTTTCGTCAATAAAGACTAACAGAATTCAGATGCAGATTAACGAAAGTTTTGATTAATTATTGGATCGATCTACGTCAAGTAAAGAATTTTTTAGACTTGAACTTTTACATAATATGTTCTATATTTTAGCCCAATTTATAGAAAATAGAGATCATTCACCATCAACTGCAAAAACTTTCTTTCGTTCACAGCGTTTCCGCAGTGGACGAATACTTGCGCGAAAGCTTTAGGTCACCCCTAAATGATTTCGAACGTTTTAGGATTTTTACAAATGAAAAATGTATATTGCAGTCAGTTAAGCTTGTACGCATTTCGTATTGACAGTCTAGGTTAAAGTTAAATTCGTACTCAACTTTGAAAAGGAAAAAAAATCACGATTAACGCAAAATTACAAGTGTGACCTAAAACGTCTTCGCACAGCATCACATGCGCTAAATTTACTTTCATGACAACTCTTCGAGAAAGGCGTATTACGAGATTTTTCGACTTTGATTGATATACAATCGGATGTTTTTTTCTGTACCGAGATTGCTGCAATTTCAAACCTGCTTGTTGGCTTGTGCAAGCTTAATAATTTACCATTTGATAGCATTTTTTGCAATAAAAACTGAAGACGAAGAACAACGTTTTTGGCCTTGTATTTAATAATCGAGATGAATCAAGTAAAGTTTGTGCGACCGGCAAAAAATACAGCAGATTTCTACATGCAAATATCACAAAATCTTTACAAAATCTTGGACGATGACGTAACAGATAATATTAATGAGGAATTCCGTTGTGTAACAAATAAACTTGCTATTAGCGATGGAATGAACATAGTGGCGCCATAAAAATTCATATATACGCTATACTGAAATACTGCTAGCCGGGAAAGTGTAAACAAGTCCAAGATTACAGTTTTATTTAACCCAGTACGGAAAATGAGCTCGACCAGAAAAACGATGTTATTTCAGGCGGTATTAATAACAATTTCATCAAGGTATAGCTATAGCATCATCGATGGATGAACTCACATACCGTAACTCATTGGTCAAACTCTCAAAAAATGTCATACATCAAAAAATTCTTTAAGAAGTAATATGATGGGCTGAGACTTCACAACCCATAACGGATGATGAAGATCGATCTTACAGAATTAGATCACGATTACAAACATCTTTTCTCCCTCGAAAAATGTATGGGCGAAAACGAATCCATGGGTGGTGGTTTTGATCGAGAAAATGGTGATCTTGATATGCACTTTGATCTTGAAAGCCACTTTAACTCTATTACAACGGTAGTATGCAAACTTGGTAACAGGTTTGCAGGTTCAGGAATCATGCAAAGTAAAGAACCGAAAAAACAGGTGAGAAGAGAGAGAAAGACATTTTGAAGCCCGCGTGTTTAAAGAAGAGGTCCAGAGTCCACCATTACACCTTATGGATATTCCAAGAATTGGGCAGGTACCCCCAACTTTTACATTCGCTGCCCGCAAACTTTTGCGCGTTGGAATAAACCGCCCATGTTTATAGAGATGCTCTAAACTGCAGTGATTACAGGTATTAATTTAAATACCAACCAACGACCAATCCCAGATAAACAGAACTTTAAACAATATCACCAAGCGAGGGAAAATATTAAAACTAAAGTCGGCAAAAAATTTCTTAAACTTATCTATGCCAGCCCCAAGGCTGTCAACTGGTTATGGGGCTTCGAGTTTCAACACGTTCGCTCTCATTTTATACTTTATTAATATAACGGTGCTATATACAAATACAAGAATACACAGGAGTTACACGATATTCCTCGAGTTACATATTACAAGATAAAGACATAAAAACATTAACAGCTACTTACAAATATCTGTGATGGCTCTCTGGTGTCTGGCGAAAAAACGTTATAGATAAACTAACTATGACAACAGGCCTTCGAAAATGTCAATCCTTACCGCGTGCTTCACAAACGGGCCTTATAAAGCTCATAACCCGGAAGTTCGTCAGCCGGAAGTGACACGGCTGTAACATGGCTCCCCAAAATGTTCACTTAGTACATTTTCTAACTATAAAATATCAATAACCTATATTATCTAATGGTTGTATACAGAACTGTCAACTCAGTAAAGTTTAATGCTCCTTGGCGGGAAGTTCCTTTCGGTCTCTACTTAATCTACTGTTTCTAATAACATTGTCAACTTGTGAATTGGTCGTTCGAAAAAACTCAAGTCATTCTTCCTTTTCCCGTTCTTGTCCAAATTGCTTGTTGCCTTTTGGATTTCGACCTTTCGAACCAAACCGTCATCACTAGGGTAGGTTTTGGTTACTTTTGCTAACGGCCATTGATTTCTCGGAAGATCTTCGTCTTTGTCGATAACGATATCACCAACCTTCAGGTTCCGTTTAGGATTTTGCCACTTCTTTCTGACTTGCAAGCTTTGGAGGTACTCGCGTCTCCACCTCTGCCAGAATTGATTTGCTAAGAATTGGACCCGCTTCCATCTCTTACGGCTGTAGACATCAGGTCGGCTGAACTGTCCTGGAGGAGGTAGTACGACTTTTGATTTCAGCGTAAGTAGTTGTATAGGTGTAATAGGTTCTGGACTGTCCGGGTCGGAGACATCTGCCGTTAATGGACGAGAGTTAACTATGTTTTCTGTTTCTGCGAAGAGCGTGCGTAGGGTCTCGTCGTCGAGTTGGTCACCGAGTTCAGTCATGATAGCTGAGATGACTGATCTGACTGTCCTTATCTGTCGTTCCCACACACCTCCCATATGCGACGAGTGGGGAACATTCATAATCCAATCACAATTCTTAGTCAGAAGGAATTGACGGACGTGGTCTTGGTTCATCTCGTTCCATGCTTGCGCCAACTCTCCTTTTGCTCCGATGAAGTTGGTTCCTCTATCCGATCTGAGCTGTCGGACGTTTCCGCGTCTACTTATGAACCGTCTTAATGCACAAATAAAACTGTCCGTGTCCATAGAGTTCAACGTTTCCAGGTGTATAGCTCGTGAGGCCATACAGGTGAATATAATTCCGTATCGTTTTACACTCTTTCTGCCTTCTCTAATATGCCAGGGGCCAAAGGCGTCTACTCCGACATAGGTGAATGGAGCTGTTTCTTTCATGCGGTCAAATGGGAGATCGGCCATCTTTTGAGTTTCAGATGTACCTCGTTGTTTGCGACACTTCACACATTTATTTATGACGTTTGATACTGTGGCTCGACCATGGATTATCCAATAGCCAGCATGTCGAATCTCATTCAAAGTCAAGAGACGACCTTGATGTTGAACTGCTTCATGGTGGTGTCGTATGACCAGTTCGGTAAGGTGGCTCCTTTTTGGAAGGACAACTGGGTGCTTCTCTTGAAATGAGACCTCAGCTCGTTTAATCCGTCCTCCAACTCGAATAATGCCTTGTTGGTCTACGAACGGATCTAGACGGTGTAGTGAACTGAAGTGCTTAAGCGTCTGGTTTCTTTTTCTAGTTTCTACGTTATTTTTAAACTGACCGTCTTTTAGACTCTGTAAGACGGCCATTTCTTCGTGGAAATGATGCTGTTGGATATTTCTTATGAGAATATGCTCTGCCTGTTCCAAATCTTCAACTAGAACAGACGTAGACAAACCTTTTCCGAGGACATCTGGCTCTTGACCTCTTCTTTTCTGAGATACTCTGGTTCGGAGTATATTGACGTACTTAGTCGCTAAGGCTATCGCACGTTTTAGCTTAAACCACGACGAGAAACGATTCAGGATGGCCATGTCCAAGGGTCTTTCTTGTGAGTTCACATGAACCGCATGGACTGTGACTTTTCTGACTTCTGGGTCGTTCTCATTAAGGAGAGGCGAACAGCTGGTATGCTCAGGTAGTTCTGTTTGCCATAAGAATTCTGGACCGTTTAGCCAGGTGGGAGTATCTAATAATTCTTTTGGTGTGGCGGATCTGGAAGCGATGTCGGCTGGGTTTTCTTTGCCTCTCACATGGTGCCACGACTGTGGGGACGTTTTGCTTCTTATAGCTTGTACTCTGTTTCCTACGTAGACGTGGAAGCGGCGGGCATCATTTTGGATATATCCAAGGACGACTGTTGAATCACTATAGTAGGTGTTGGCGTCCACGTCATAATCTAGATCCCTCGAAAGTTGTTGTGTAACGTTCACAGAAATAACAGCAGCTGTGAGTTCAAGTCTGGGTATGGACACGAGTTTCAGAGGGGCAACTCGCGCTTTGGCCGTCAAAAACGAGACATGGACTTGATCTTTATCGTTAACCAGTCTCATGTAAGAAACTTGTCCTACTGCAGACTGACTGGCATCGGCGAAGCTGTGTATCTCAGTAGACTTTATTTCTCCGAAACTTGGTGGTTTCAAACACCGGCGGGTTTCCATTTTCTCTAAATCTTTCAAATCTGCTCTCCATTTTTCCCAACGAGGGCGAATCTCTTCCGACACGAGCTCATCCCAATCCGCCTTTTGTTGAACTAGTTCTCTTAAGATCAGTTTTCCAGTGAGAATCACTGGACATACGATTCCCAATGGGTCGTAAACGGAACTGACTGTACTCAAAATCCCGCGGCGTGTAAAGGGTTTGTCCTTTAACGTTATTCTAAATTGGAACGTGTCCGACTCTATACACCAATACGTCCCGAGCGATCGTTGAATCGGGAGGGTATCGTGACGTAAATCGAGGTCTTTTATCTCCTTGGCGCGGTCCTCGGCTGGAACGGCTTCCAGGACGTCAATGGAATTACTGGCGAACTTATGAAGGCGAAGTCCCGCTTTTGCACACATTGCTTGCGATTTCGTGATAAGATTGACGGCGTCTTCTATTGTCTTGACTGATTTTAAACCATCGTCGACATAGAAATCATTTCGTACGAAATTCGCAACCTCTTCTCCGAATTCACTTTCGCCGTCTTGCGCTGTTTTGCGAAGACCAAAGTTCGCACATCCTGGGCTGGATACTGCTCCGAACAGATGCACGTTCATACGATACGTTACGATGGGCTTTGTCACGTCTCCTTCTTGAAACCACAAAAAACGAAGGTAATCTCTGTGCTCTTCAGCTACCATAAAATTATGGAACATCTGCTCTACGTCGCACGTCACAGCAATTTCTTCCTGTCGAAATCTATTGAGCACTCCTGTAAGCTTATTCATCAGATCTGGTCCTTGAAGGAGGTGTTTATTGAGGCTTTCTTGTTGAAACGTATCGCTGCAGTCAAAAACAACTCGGATTTGATCTGGTTTCTGGTGGTGGTAAATTGGAAAGTGAGGAAGGTACCATGTTCGTCTTGGCTGGGATTCGGATGCACTGTCTTCGATTCTGCTTGCATGTCCCTTGGTAATTATTTTTTTTATAAATTCTGCGTAGTCTTTAAACAACTTTGGATCCCTTTCGAACTTTCTCTTCAGAGACATCACTCTTTTGACACAATGTGGACGATTATCAGGTAGATGTGGGGGAGTTTCGTCTCTAAATGGGAGCGGCATTTCCCAGCGCCCTTCAGCATCTTTCTTGATTCCTTCTTCAAGGATTTGTAAGAACCTTCGATCTTCAATCGAGTGAATTGTGTTGTCTCCTTGCTCCGCCTTTCTTTCGGAGTAGTCGAGTTCCATCATTCGTTGGACATCCGAGGTCGTGTAGATTTCTTTGGCCATCAAACTGTCACGTATAACGATTCGATTAATCTTGAATGTCTCGTCGCTGTCGTTCCCCTCGGATCCTTTGCATACGTCACCTATTATTGTCCATCCCAGGTCGTAACGCTCCGCCCATGGCTCATCATCTTTCCCGTTTACTACTTCTCTGGTTTTCATTGCTTGTGGCACATTTCGGCCGATCAACAAGCCAATTTCCACTTTACGTTGTTCTGGTATATATTTCGCGATATCTTTTAGGTGGTTCCATTGACTGGCTGCTCTTCTCGTCGGAATGTCAGTATAATCTGCGGGGAGATCCTCTCGGGTATAGGCTGTGGGTAGACGTATCGATTTTTGGTGGTGATAATCTGAGACCACGAGGTCCTGTACACGACTACTTGCGATAAGTTGTTCCTTATTTAGGACTGTCGAGACTCTTATATTCGTAGGGGATGATTTGATTCCGAATCTCTCGAAGACAGACTGCTTAACAAGGACTGCGTTACTTTGATCGTCCAACAGGGCATAAGTAAGAACTTCTGTGTCCGGGACGGATGGATGACGAAGCCATACAAGTACGATCTTGGCACATGACTTGGTGGTTTGGTACGAGCCACAAACTCGGATGCAATGGGTGGTTGTTCTAGGTTCACTGGGATGGCGTTGTGGATCGTGTAAAGCTGTTGCATGCCTCTGGTTGCATGTCCCACACTCAGGTTTGTGTTGATCGCATTTTTTTGCAATATGATTCGTCGATTTTAGACAGTTAAAACATATTCGTTTTTCTCTCATGAAAGTTTTTCGCTGATCGAAGGTCAACGCAAGAAATTCTTTACAGTCGTTGAGAGAATGGTCGTCTTTCTGGCAATGGAAACAGGATATCTTCCGTTGGCTACGGTTTTGAGATTCTTCTTTGAATGATTCTGATTCTTCATTTCTATTTCCTTGGTTAACTCGAGTACCAAAGGATGTGATGTTCCTATTCGAATTATTTCTTTTTGTCCTTTGGTTGTCGAACTCCTTTCTTCGGCTGTCTTCTTGCTTCGTGATTCCACCAAATTCGGGCATGTTGACACGACGGGCAAGCGTTTTCATTGCTTCTACAAAACTCGAGAATGGAGGGAAACTTTCCTCGCCGTTGGTCTCTTTGTATTTCCACACCTTCCGTTTCCATTCGTTCTGTGCCCATCCAGGTAGTTTTTCTGTCAACTTCACAATTTCTCTGGAACAATCGAAGCACTTTAGGGCGGTGTACTTACTCATGGCCACCTCAACTTGGTTTAGGAAGTCGCTAAAATGCAGGAGTTCTCGGTTGTAGTCTCTCCCAATTTTAGGCCAATTCGTTAGCCTCTTGTCGATACTCGCGGTGAGAATGCTGGCATTGCCATACCGGTATTTCAGCTCTTCTCGGGCTCGACGATAAGCAGTGTCGGCATCATGGTGCAAGTCCTGATAATGTTCTACCATCTTCAGTGGTTCTCCTTTCAGAAACTGGCATAGATAATGCAACATGGTCTTGGAATCATGGGTGTTCGAGGCAACTAGGGCATCAAAGGAAGATTCCCAACGCAAAAATTCCATTTCATCACCTTCAAAAACCTTCGGTGTAAGTTTTGGCAGTCTCTGGAGGGATAGTGCTTCTAGAATAACTTTGTTGCTATCGCACAGCTGACTCTTTTCAGTCTCCAATGTAGGAGAATGAACTGTTTGTTCGTTGCTGGACACCAAGGTCTGTTGCAGTACTGGGGATGGACGTGTGCTATCTGGTTGAGGTCTGAAGGAGGGTACATTACAATTCATAGGTTTATCAGGTGCTGACCTAATTTGCTGAACTGGGTGGAGTGATGGGGTCACGCTATCTTGAGTTATTTTAGTCTTCAGGTTATTATTACTCGTGTACGACGTCAGAAGTTCCTTTTTCACAAATACGGGAATTTCTTCTTGGTCATTTTCGACTTGTTCATAAACTTCTACTTCCGCTTCTGCTTCAGCTAATTGTTGCCTCATTCTCAATTTCTCTAAGTGGGCTTCATGCTTGGCTAATAAATTTTTTTGTTCTATTATTTCCTCTTCTACTACCATTTTACTTCGGAGTGCGGCTACTTTAGCACGGGCTTCTAGCCTTTTCTCTTGGATAGAAGAGGTAGTACGAACAGAGGAAGTTATTGATTTTCTGTCTTCCGGTAATGACGACCGGGGATTAGGCGCCCGGATATTGTCGATTTCATATTTTTGCATATTTAGGTCTAACGAAGCTTTCACATTTTGCCAGTCGTTTAAAACGGTTTGACATTCTGTTATATAACTTTCACGCTGTTCAGGTTCGAGCAGTTTTAATAATTCGTCTAAGCCTCGATTGAATTCTTTAACTAGAGTCTCTAGTTGATCAATTTCGTCTCTAGTCTCTGCCTCTTCTAGCGTGCTTACTTGTGTTTTAGTCGAAGCCAATTTATCGACTAGACAACGCGTTGTTTGTTTGAATATATTTCTCTTCAGATTTAAGAGGTATTCTTTACCTTTTTGGCTTAGTGTTCTCTCTCTAGTGCTTCGACGATACTCAGTTACTTCTTCTGAACTCTTTTGATGTTTGTCGGTGCTTTCGTGGATGATTTCAATCGTATTTGTATTTTTGTTTGTCTTATCCAAGACAGGACTGTTTCGGCTGGTTGACTCTGTCATTGTCTGATCTGTCTGGGGATCCATAACGCTATTTCTAGCTGTTTTCAGTCGCTGCGTAGATATTTCACTATGCCAGCCCCAAGGCTGTCAACTGGTTATGGGGCTTCGAGTTTCAACACGTTCGCTCTCATTTTATACTTTATTAATATAACGGTGCTATATACAAATACAAGAATACACAGGAGTTACACGATATTCCTCGAGTTACATATTACAAGATAAAGACATAAAAACATTAACAGCTACTTACAAATATCTGTGATGGCTCTCTGGTGTCTGGCGAAAAAACGTTATAGATAAACTAACTATGACAACAGGCCTTCGAAAATGTCAATCCTTACCGCGTGCTTCACAAACGGGCCTTATAAAGCTCATAACCCGGAAGTTCGTCAGCCGGAAGTGACACGGCTGTAACACTTATCGATAAACACCGACTCCTTCAAACCCCCCTTGGACGATAATTATTAATCAGACATTGAAAAATCAGAATAGGTGTGCAAACCAAATTCAAGAATTATTGTAAAGAATTTGTTATCAAATGGTGATTTATTATAATAACACAATCAAATCGAATCAATCTCTGAACTTAGGTGAGAATTCAAATAGTTCAAAAATGTTTAAAAAAATTACTTTGCTTTTCTCGAAATGCTGTCAAAATAACAACCTCAGCGTCCCTATTTTAAAGGCATGAAAGCTATGTAAACAAACTTGTAGCATTAATCATGTATTACATAGATTTACAAATGCATGCAAGTATTACACAGACTTGTAGCATCTTAATTGCTTGGGAATGCTATATTATAAAGCACCAGGCAAAATTTCAATATTATTACTCTTATAATGTATATAGTGCAAGTTCTGAATTTAAATTAATATTAATTAATATTCAAACTAACAGTTGGTCAATCACAAGAAAGAGACAAGAAACTTAATATGAACTATTAAGATTTTAGAAATAGCCCTTCTAGTGTATGCAATTCTTGAACATATAAACCAGCAATGAAATAATGACTTACATTTATTTGTATAGGTAATAGTATAATTTCGAGTGCAATTACGGATTAACAAGCACGAGTGAGTTTTTAAAGGCTGCAAAATAGCGCGAGTCCGAAGGACGAGCGGTGTTTGCAGTCTTTAAAAACTCACCAGTGCATGTTTATCCGTAATTACTCGAGAAATTATAGTACTACGTATTAATGATATGCAAGGAAATCTTCGTGACAATAGATTATTGACCTCATCCATTATAAGTCCTTGAACATTTTATTTCGAATTTAATTAGTTTAAGCAATTTATGCAAATAATGAGAATTCAAATTTTAACAGTTCGTCTGTCCATTGCTATTATTAAACGCGGAACAGTAATTGATTGGTTAATTTTTTTTTCAAAAAAATCAGATGTGTTTATAAGAGGATTTTGCACTGCTGTTACAGAAATTTTTGCGCTTGTGTTTTACGGATTACACATTTACACATTTTTGCATTTGTGTTTGGGATTAACTGCACTGAAATCAACCAATCAGGGTCGAGAAACATTTCCTTGTATATTACTAAATTGTATTATTAGCTGTCAATATTTGTAATTGTAATGGTGTCTGTAATTTTGTATTTGGCTGTATTTGTTAATGTTTTAAAGCATGAGAGACTGTAATTAATTTACATATCACATGCATAATGAACCAGCACATAGTTAGTCCAGGATCTGTAAAGGAATTTGTGTGTATTTCATTTAGGACAGATTTTCTCAACTTTAGGGTAAAATGACCATTGTGGTCAACATGGTATATGTGCCAAAATCCGAATCTGGGAACAAAGTGCTGAAATCTGAAAATGAGCACACCCACAAATGGGACTGTTGACATAGCTCTAATCCCCCTTTAAATCCTGAACAGTCCGTCTGAAAAGTCATTAGTCTTTTTGAATTGTTTATATGCATGTGCTTCAGAATCATTGCGTTTAGGGCTCGTTAATGAGAGTGAAATTAGCCTAATTCTTCTTCTTCCTCGCCCGTTTTTTTTGACTACCTTCCCCGTATTTTTTTACATCCTCCTCCCCCCCCATTTTTTCAGTAAAACTTTCTAGATTAAGTTCGGAGAAATCCAAGATCCGCCCCTGAAGAGCACATTCATTCAAAAGAAACCCAATCGATCCTCGACATGAACTTATTCCATAATAAAGGGACCCATAAATTTTTTTCGCCATGACTTTATTGATTCATTTTATTGTGCCTGCTACAGTTAAGATAAACGTGCATATACACTTGCTTATGTGCTAAATTTATACAATTTTCTTGGAAAGCTTAGCTAATTGTACGGATATACTGTATAATTGTATGACACCGTACCATAGCGCGCGATGAAGAAAAATGGGAACTGCATGCTTACGAGTTTATGTTTTTGTTTACGAGTCTTATTTCATCAAACCCCGACTGTTCGACTTTGGAACATGGTCAGGGGCAGCTCGTTCGAAAGGTGTTTAGCTCAAACAGTGAATAAGCAAAAAATTAAAAATACTCTCATAGATCTTGTGAATGACTGAACCTGCATCTTATGCATTTAATTCTGCTTCCATTAACAAATTAAACTATTTACATCGAATTATTTCAGCTCAGTTGTTCAATAAATAGAAAATTTTGTTTTCCATTTTAAACTTATTCACAGTTTAACTGAGCTAAACGCCTTTCGAACAACCGGCCCCAGATCTCTAAACTTACGCGTAGGTTGGTAGTTATAATTTTGGAACGTCACATTGGGTAATGAAATTTCATTGCATGAAATATAATAATGGATTATAAATTCTTTTTAGAACAAAACAAAACCAATTTCATTGCTATACAGTTTACTTGGTTTACTTCTCTCTTTTCGTGTGAAAACAAACGCGATTCAAACATAAGCACCCGTAAGCCACGCTATGGTCAGTAAAGCTATCATCAGGTCAGACTTGAAAACTAACGCCTGTATTCTAAAAGCTCACTCACACTCAAACTCATTGAGTGGGAGATCTTAATCCTCTCATAAGGTTTCAATGGCGGTATTTCGAGCCGAATAGGGGCTTGATTTTCAGTGATTTACCTTATATCTTTCCATCTATTCAGAGAAAACTTTCTCATTGATCAGTCTTAACAAAATTCATATGTCACACTCCATGAGTATGAGTGTGAGTGAGCTTTTTGAATACAGCCGTAAGTCTTTAAGTATCAGAGGGGTGCAACTTTATATCGCTTTATATAGTGATTGACAGCTTTAATAACAAAACAAAGCTTTTCCGATTCTTAACAATATTCGACTTTTGTACAATGCTGTTGCTTTCTTTGAGTGATCGGCGAATTCGAAAGGCGGTGAAAATGAACATTAAACGATGTAGAACAAAACACAGCCTCGAAAACCATAATTTTCTGCGGCAATCAACCAATTAGGAATATTATGACCAAAGCCTTATCCTAATTATATGCATGCACTGCATAATTGTCACTATACGACAGGTTGGCGATAGAAGCTCAGTCCAGCTCGTGGGGGATTGTCTCGAGTTGGTTTTTAGCAACGGTCTATAGCAATAGACTAGAGCAACGGCTGTCCATGCAGCACAAGATCTCAATAGATTTTGTCTCTCGGTAGGTTTCCAGAGAGGTAATAAAATTTTAGCCTTTTGGTCAAACGTTTAAACGCTGAATATCCCTGTTTAAAAATTTCAAGAAACTGTAAGGAGCAACCTTAAGTATGGGAAAACTTGATAATCGTGAATCTCGCAATTTAGTGATTTAGTCAAATCGCTGATTTGTCACAAGATTGTTAACAAACCTTGTGGAGCTCATGGAGCGCCGAGGAGACTAACAAAATTTGAAATACAAAATGAATTTCCCAAAGGAGATGAGACAAAGATTATAAGGAGTTATCGCCCATATTTTCATATCAAACAAAAATTTTGTAATCTTAGGCGTTTTATATTCATCCTTATAACAGCACCATTCTTTTGATATGGAAATCCTTTGTTGACACGTTTCTCCAAATGGCTCCGCCCCTTTTGGATCTTTATTCAATATTGCTCCAGGATATGAGACGTGGAACAAATAATGCAACTCTCCTCCGCAGTGCAGGTCGGTGGTGGTCGGGCAGGCGCAGGTTAAGTAATTAAGTTTGAGAAGCCCAGCCGTATAATGATTATTCTGGAGTCAAATGACACTATGCATTTGATATAACCATTTACATTTCGATGCAACTAGTAAGTTGAATACATAATAATTATATGAATTCATGTGATAGATTTCAGCTCAATAGGTAAAAACAACTTTTCGAAACAACCTGCTCAAGATTAAAAAGACTACGCCTAAGTTACAACAGAATATGGAACGTATGCCGACGTTTATCACGGATAGCAAATAACTTGTACTTGAAGACTTTCTTATAGTCATACACATGTAAAATTAGCACATCTACACATATAATACGCTTCATTTCTAAAACTAGGTTAAACAAGCTTACTTCATCATTTGCCTTTAACTCTTTTTATTCTTTAATATGCAGTGTTTCATTGCCCAATTCGCCATTGTGAAAAGCCAGGATAAAACATGTGCGATTATCATTTTTATCTGCCAATCCGGAAGCAGGTATATACACGCCCTAGGAGTGAAAACATATTTTTTCCATATTTCCATATTTTCGCGCATCCATTTATGTATATTACTCTATTTAATATTTAGTTACAAAAACCTCCGTAGAGGAGAGTAGAACATTTCCGATTCGGAAACCCTGAGTTGAGAAAATCTTTCTGAAGCGCATTAGGAAGAGATCACCTGATTGCGATCAATTTTATCACCATGCATGTATATTGTTCCTGTTTTAAGTTATTGTTGCTGGTTTAAATTATAGGCTTGCGCTTCAGCGAATGTTATATGCATGTTTAATTGCACAATTTGCATCTAAGCTAGATCGAACCCGTAGAAAATTAAGACAGAAATAAAACATATTCGTTCCACTGTATAAATTATTTGATACACTCAGACCTAAGACATCTTAACATGCTCCGGAATTTCCAGAACTTTATCATTTATTGTGATAGGTTCCAGGCATTTCTTCACTTTGGAAAAGCATGTCCGCATTTCTTTTCAATTAGATTTATTAAGTTGGAATTTATCTGCCCTGGCCTGGTTGGCAAGTTCGTCCACGCCATCTTTTATTTATGATGGTTTCACTAATGATTGAATCGTCAAAATATATATACCCGGGAAACAAGGTCATGTGTTTGACCCTTTGTGCCTTGAATGGTATTGCAATTGCACCCCACTCCGAGTAACACTGCTGGCCAAGTTTAACTCTTTGCCGACGACAAGTCAAAATTAATCATGTTTCGGATCTTTTCGCTTTTCTTACACCCGTTCCGCGTGTTCTAAATCACATATAATGAGAATTCTAAGTTTTAGAACATCGGATATATGTGACATGGGATGATCATCTGAGCCATCTAACACGTTCGCTGTTTGCTGTACTGGGAACGAGCTATTTGTTATTATTGTGTATTATAAATTCTAAATAGAAGTTCGCCAAAATGGCGGATTCTTGCAAGCGTTTTAAGGCATGCAAAATTCGCGTTAATACGCAGACAACAAAGGGAAAAAAAACTACAAGACATGTGCGTTTAAATTCAAAGAACTATTGCAAGATTTCTCAGGAGTCAAGTTCGAGTAAGCAGAAGTCTTTCACAACGGGAATGGAAGAAGAACATGTTGATGGTTCAAATATCGACGATATAAATAGCAGCCATGAAAGTGATGACCAAGCTTTTTCTAGTCTTTCACGATATCACTTGCGCCGGGTGAAAGAGTATCACAGTTGGGAAGATGTGAGGGGGTCTCTTTTGCAAGCACGCATTGAGGAAGAAGCTTTTTGTGACGAAAGTATAATGTGCATCGAGTGCCATAACAACTTCGCTGTTTGTCGCTGCGTGGATTGTGGTCCTAGACAGTTGTTTTGCATCAACTGCGCGAAAACTATCCACGAACAACGCAACGTCTTTCACCTACTTGAAATTTTCAAGGTGCGTGTGATGTTTTTGGCGTAAAATATAACATATTTCAATATCTTTTATATGTATATTACATATTCAGAACTGACCCTACCCCAGACCCAACTGTTTAAAAATTAATGTTGCTTATTTTCTCAGGATGGTTGTTTTGTTCCTTTATTTGTTAATCATGGTGTTTTGACTCTTGATCACCAAAGAAATTGTCCAACTGCACAAGCACAAAACATTATTTGTATTGATGAAAAAGGTGGGTTTATTGGTACTGTGGATTTGATAACTGTATTCAAGTTTGTTTTCAGTCCTAAAATAATTGTGAGAAAAGTTCTGTAAGTTTCTCCTTTGGTGCATTTTTATTAGGGCATCAACACTTGAAATGGATCAACTTTTGTAACTGTGAAGATGCTGCAGTTACACTTGTAAAGTTCCAATTATGGCCAGGATCAGCTGTTAGACCTCAGGTTGCATTTCATTTTAAGTTGGTTACACTTGCTGAGACACTTCTATTGGAATGCCATGTATCGTTAAAGAAATTTTGTGATGTGTTGGGCCTCAATAAGTCCAATATGCTTCCTGTTTGGGTATGTTATTTTGTTACATTTGAAGCTGAGTAATTCCATGCTATTTCAACATCATTCAGAACAAATTCTTGACACCTAACCTTTCCAAATACTTTATGTTTATATATTTTCTAAATAGACAATTCTTGATTAAAATATAATAATAATATAGCATACTGCATACCAAGTATAAATTATTATATACTGTGTAATATTTATCTGTGTGAAAATGACATGGGATTAACTATATAAACTCTAAATGCTCTAAATGACAATAACTTGACTGTTTTATTAACACTTTGATGCTTGGAATCTCCATTGGACAAGTAAAATCATATAGGGTTAGCCAGAGTAAAATACTAGAGTCATGCCATGGGCATTAAATAGATAAAGAAAATAACTATAATTTATTACATATTATTGATTCCAGCTTTAATGAGATATTTCAATTTGTTTGATATATAAGACATTAAATTATATTTGCCTACTAATTATGATGTTAGTTTGGTTGCCAGCTAACTAGTATACAGTAACTATAAAGTCTACAAGTGCAGATACTCATGTTCCGAGCGAAGTTTAAAATTTCATAATTAGTGGACGTGCAAATATACACTTATTTACATATCACACAAATTGGAATGTCTCGTTAGCAAACCATGAAATGAAGTGAGAAACTAGAAAATAAGTTATATATACATGTGAAACATATTAAAGATTTCTTTTGTGTTATAAAATAATCAATGTTATGTCATATATGGTACACTTTAATTATATACCATAGATAAATAAATTTATTCATACATTATATATTTTTTTTGGTTTTCTAAGGTTAAGAATCTCTATAAAATAAATGATGATTCTTTTGATGAATTTAGGTAGGGGCGTATTTTGGTTAACTGCATGACACAGTACTGTTCTTGTCAAATATTTATTTTATTGTTTTTGCAACTTTTTATGATAAATTTTAAACTTCAATTCTATATATATATATATATATATATATATAATATATATATATATATATATATATATATATAATATATATAATATATTTACAATACCAACAATAATATTTTATTTATGTAGATATCACCAACATTTGTTCAAAACAATGAAACAATTTGTCTTGCAACAAAAACCTGACAATGTTTGCCCGTTATGTCCTTTGCAGGTATAGAACTCCACAGGTATTTTTTCTTTTATGTCACATTCTCCTTTTTGTATTTAACATATTGTGATAATTTTGTAGAGTGAAACTGATACTGACAAGAATGTTGCCATTGAGTGCATGGATGGATGTTTTGGGCTTGTGAGAAAAAAGTCTGCTGGTGCGAATCTTTTACCTGCCAGACACAATGGTACATTTTTTGCCAATCAGGATGATGTCGATAGCTTTGTTGATGACAACTCAAAGAAGGCAAAGCAAGCCCCTACTGTAAGTGGTTACTGGTGATTGTACTGTAAAAAGTAGTTTTGTTGAATATTATCATTATTATAGAAGAATCCACTGTTTTTCCTAGGATTGCAATGAATTTAAATCTGGTGAGGTTAGTAACATGTTACGATCCAAAGGAAGAAATAAGCTTTTTGACGAGAAGGGAGTGTTTGGTAGAGTATGCAGACATGAATACCCAAGGGGATTTATGAGTATCAAACATGGAGAAAGGTGAGCAAACAGTCATCAAATTAAAGTGCAAGTGTACATGTTGATAGTAATTTAGTGCAACATACTGTATATTTTAGGATAGCATATTCAGTGTATGAGGTTAAAAAGCTTCTGTGTCATTATGATGAGGATACTGATGTTAAAATAATGTATGACATTGCATGTACTTTGTCTGCCCACCTAAAGGTAAGGTATAGGCATAGCTGCCTGATTACAGTTTAAATTCTAAGAAGAAGTAAAGTTCTGTCATTTGGAGATGTAATCTCATGTGCAATTTTACATGTATTGAATATTTATTATATATGAATTTCAATATCCATTTGCATATATATTTTATTTTTGATAGAAAAACGAAGAGCATACCATTCTTGGACGCATTGACTTGGCAATTCCTGTTTTCCATGCATATGGACATAAATCTTCTTGCCAGGTCAATATATGGTTTAGAAGTTGTCGGTTTTGTTATCAAAAATTTAATTGTCATTCTTAGGTGCAGTATGCAGTATGTCGCATGTTGTTATTTATCTCAGAATTGTCCCGAAATGTAGGTTGCTTTTGGTCCTAGAAGAAAGGAGGGATTTGGCCTTACTGACGGTGAAGGAATTGAAAGACTTTGGTCTTACCTCAGAGGATTTTCATCAATGACAAAGGAAATGACAGCTGGTCGAAGGGTTGACGTATTAACAGATGCGCTTCTTCACCATGCAAGACATCGTCTTCTACAGTTTGGCTAGTTGAATATTTCTGCCTTGGTGGATTTATGCCACCAATATCATTACAGTATTGGTAATTTTTTTGCGACTATATATTTGTAATTCAATGCTTGATTTTTCCCCACAGGTCCGGCATTGTTGTCTAAAATGCAAAAAACAAAGAAACTAATGGAAAACTCAGTAGTACAGTTGGAGGAGATCTTTTCAGATTTAAAAGGTAGAACATCTTATCTAACATTTGATAGTATTAAACAGTTATTGGATGAGGCTTTTGTATATGCGGAAAATTTCAATGTAAGTGTTAGTATCATAGTGCTGTCATAGGTCGAATTACGTTATAATAGAAAAGTCTTTCAATTTCAGTTTCCTATGGTACTGATGTAATTAACTCTTGGATGAAAGCAGAAGAGAATATGTTGTTAATGAGAGGCAGTATGTACCAATTATAACGTAAGGAAATACCGTGTTCATTTGTAACAAGACGTGTAATATTATCATAAACTGTTGATGTTGTAGAGAGAAAACCATCGCCCATGTCGTGGGAGGCTAAATACGTACAGAACTTAGTTTTCTTGCAGGAACTGAGGTTAGACTGATAATGATATATTTTGTGCATTTCCTGGCTGATTGTTCATTTATTTTTAATTAACAAAATATTTTCTAATACTTATAATGGTATGCTACAGACAAGGCATTGCTTCAACAGAAGCTGAAAATCATGAAACCATAAACGAGCTTGTAAAGAGGAAGAAAGCGTAAGTATTGGAACTAGCGACCGAATAGAATTGTTTTTGGTGTTAAAAGTCATATATACCTTTATGTAACTTCAGGATTTTAAAAATTGTCATGGGAATTGAAAAAAGCTACAAGGTTCACCCAAGATGGAGAATGGGCGAGGAGAAATTCAACGTGGCAGCATTGTCTGTTCTTCGGGATAGGCGAAACCAAGCATTAGAAAAATTATACTCACTTGCAGTCGAACGTATGTTCTTATTAAATTTGAAGCGAAAATATGCAGGTATTTTTTTTTTGCTATAACTCAAATTGTGATCGTTTGATGATCCAAGAATTATGCTTGGTTGTTTAGTTTAGGTTGGCACCATATAATTATCAATTAAGCGGACTAGTGATTCAATATAAACTGCCTTTTATTCAAAATGAAGGCAAAACAAAATAATGTAAACATTAAAAAGGCTTGCGTCGCGTAGACGCGTACGACCCCTTTAGTAGTCATATGTTATAATGGAAGTTGAAGTTCGTATGCTAATACTGCAATGGTAAAACTGTTTTAAGTTTTCAACATGTTTATTCACGGTGTGCCGTATCCTATGAATCGACATTACTTTCATTTGTAATGATGAGCTTTAATTTAAAATGGGAATTCCCACTCTAAGTTTGACATGACTCATTCGTTTGTGTTTTTTTATCGATTAATAGACGGCCAAGCAATTGCAGAGAAAGTTTCTAAGCAGATAACACAAAGGACGAATTCTGCTAAAGTAGTTGTTGAAAAGTACAACGCTAGCCTTGCTGCTTGGAAAGACAATGTAACTGGGTTGCCAGAAGAGCTAGAGTTTGACAAGGTAAAAGATCCAGAATCCGACCTATATAAGGATTTCAGAGAAAGCACTTTGAGTGAGGATCAAGTTCCATATTCTGTGAAGAAAAGCGCAATAGATTTGCATAATTTCATCGAAAGATGCAAGGAGGAAACAAGTTATTTGAAAACTGAAATGTGTAGGCTTGTTACGTATCACCAAACCCAAAAGTCAAGTTTTTTAGAATGGCTGAAGGACAACAATGACTCGTCATCAACCGTACTCATTCGAGGAATTCGGTGCATACTTCAAAGAAAGATTCTGGAAGAGGAAAACAAACTAATTGTTCTTGGTGCAACGTTTGGCAATCACCTACCAGATAATGTATCATCGTCCATTCCAAAAATCGAATGGAGTCATGAAAGCACCATGCCCTCTACCAAACACGTTTTCGAGAACTTGGATCAACTAGATGACCAAAGGGAACAGAGTGAAGAACAGGACGATGAGATATTGTCAATTTTAGACAGTTCAGATGACGAGGTTGAAGATGAATCTGAAATGGATTTCTAAATAAATGCAAAGCTCTCTGTATCATTTTGCATGATGTTTGATGTACATAATAGGTTTTTTAATTATATATCTTGTCTATACAATCTGATTTATTTTTGGTGCACAAGCATAGTCTCCGTCTAATGTGTGGAAACATGCATGTTTTAATTTATTAAAAGAAAAATTAAAAAATTATATAACAACAAATATTAAATTAAATTATTAAAACAATTGAAATAATTTGTCCCTCGCATATTACGCTTTAGTATAAATTTCCAGGTGACTATTGATTTTTCCTGCATCCTCATTGCTCAAAATTCACTGTGTTTGAAGTGATAGTCTCTTGTTGGTGAATATAGCTCTGTTGTTTTTTAAATAAGAAATTTGAATAATATTCTTGTATGTTTGCTTGGTGACATCAATAATTAAATTAGCTTGTGTAAGTGCACCACCTAAGTATTTTTAAAATACAGCAAGTTTAATGCAGTGTTAAATACTTACGTGGGGTACCTACAAGTTAAATTAATTAAGAAATTTGAAGTAATTATTATGTTGATTCAACTGTGTATCATTTTTGGTGATAAGAATAGATGTGCAAAGTTTCAAACAGTAATTACTTCGTGAAGTTTGAGTTCAATCACGCATGATCTGCTCTGACACCCTATAATTGCACCTAAGTTAGAAAAGCTAAGCATATTTTTTTCATCGCGCACTTCCATTCTCTCAATTGATCTGAAATTTTAACTGTGTATAATTTTTTGTGATACAAATAGTTGTGCAAAGTTTCAAGCAGTAATTCCTTCGTGAAGTTATAATTCAAGCACGCATGATCTGCTCTGACACCCTATATTAATTACACCCCTAAGTTAGAAAAGCTGAGCCTATTCTTTCATCGCGCACTTCCATTCTCTCAATTGAGCTGAAATTTTAACTGTGCAGAATTTTTTGTGATACAAATAGTTGTGCAAAGTTTCAAGCAGTAATTACTTCGTGAAGTTTGAGTTCAATCACGCATGATCTGCTCTGACACCCTATAATTGCACCTAAGTTAGAAAAGCTAAGCATATTTTTTTCATCGCGCACTTCCATTCTCTCAATTGATCTGAAATTTTAACTGTGTATAATTTTTTGTGATACAAATAGTTGTGCAAAGTTTCAAGCAGTAATTCCTTCGTGAAGTTAGAATTCAAGCACGCATGATCTGCTCTGACACCCTATATTAATTACACCCCTAAGTTAGAAAAGCTGAGCCTATTCTTTCATCGCGCACTTCCATTCTCTCAATTGAGCTGAAATTTTAACTGTGCAGAATTTTTTGTGATACAAATAGTTGTGCAAAGTTTCAAGCAGTAATTCCTTCGTGAAGTTTGAATTCAATCACGCATGATCTGCTCTGACACCCTATAATTACACTTAAGTTAGAAAAGCTAAGCCTATTTTTTCATCGTACACTTCCAATCTCTCAATTGATCTGAAATTTTAACTGTGTATCATCTTCTGTGATACGAATAATTGTGCAAAGTTTCAAACAGTAATTCCTTCGTGAAGTTATAATTCAAGCACGCATGATCTGCTCTGACACCCTATATTAATTACACCCCTAAGTTAGAAAAGCTGAGCCTATTCTTTCATCGCGCACTTCCATTCTCTCAATTGAGCTGAAATTTTAACTGTGCAGAATTTTTGTGATACAAATAGTTGTGCAAAGTTTCAAGCAGTAATTCCTTCGTGAAGTTTGAATTCTATCACGCATGATCTGCTCTGACACCCTATAATTACACTTAAGTTAGAAAAGCTAAGCCTATTTTTTCATCGTATACTTCCAATCTCTCAATTGATCTGAAATTTTAACTGTGTATCATCTTCTGTGATACGAATAATTGTGCAAAGTTTCAAGCAGTAATTCCTTCGTGAAGTTAGAATTCAAGCACGCATGATCTGCTCTGACACCCTATATTAATTACACCCCTAAGTTAGAAAAGCTGAGCCTATTCTTTCATCGCCCACTTCCAATCGTTTAATTGAGCTGAAATTTTAACTGTGTAGAATTTTTTGTGATACAAATAGTTGTGCAAAGTTTCAAGCAGTAATTCCTTCGTGAAGTTTGAATTCTATCACGCATGATCTGCTCTGACACCCTATAATTACACCTAAGTTAGAAAAGCTAAGCCTATTTTTCATCGTACACTTCCAATCTCTCAATTGATCTGAAATTTTAACTGTGTATCATCTTCTGTGATACGAATAATTGTGCAAAGTTTCAAGCAGTAATTCCTTCGTGAAGTTAGAATTCAAGCACGCATGATCTGCTCTGACACCCTATATTAATTACACCCCTAAGTTAGAAAAGCTGAGCCTATTCTTTCATCGCCTACTTCCAATCGCTCAATTGAGCTGAAATTTTAACTGTGTAGAATTTTTGTGATACAAATAGTTGTGCAAAGTTTCAAGCAGTAATTCCTTCGTGAAGTTTGAATTCAATTACGCATGATCTGCTCTGACACCTTATAATTACACCTAAGTTAGAAAAGCTAAGCCTATTTTTTCATCGTACACTTCCAATCTCTCAATTGATCTGAAATTTTAACTCTCTACAGTAATTGAACATCATTATGAGATGGTTTTGCACAAATAGAGAACTAAAGCAAAGAACTGTGAGTTATTGAGAAATTCATGATGATTGGACGTGAACTAGAAGAGACTTACGCCTGTATTCAAAAAGCTCACTCACACTCATACTCATCGAGTGTGACATATAAATTTCGTTAATGCTGATCAATGAGAAAGTTTTTTTCTGAACAGATGGAAAGATATAAGGTAAATCACTGAAAATCAAGCCCCTGTTCGGCTGGAAATACCGCCATTGAAACGTTATGAGAAGATTAAGATCTCCCACTCAATGAGTTTGAGTGTTAGTGAGCTTTTAGAATACAGGCGGGCAGTTCCTGGGTAAGAACCTATTTTAGATGGATATAAACATCGTAGTGTAACATGAGATCTGTTCTAATTTGAAGCTAAAGGGGCCTTTTCAAACCATGCATGTACACCTTTCATAGTTGGTAACGGAAAATGCGACTACCAGGATTCCATTAGACTGCAGTTGTTGGTTTGGTCCGGTTTGCACATAAATTAATACATTCTAGCAGCCGAAAGAAATAGCGGGCAATGTGATAGAATTTTTGTCGGAAACTTTTTCAGGTAACAGCTTTCAAATAGATAAGGCAAAATAATTTGATGACTTCACATTTCAAAAATACGCTCTATTGCAGGTGAACTTTTAATTAAATGCATGTCATTATGCATGTGTCCAGATGACTGATGATGACAAGGTCAAGGTGCGTTGACGAATCATTACAAACACAAATGCAAATGTAACGTAATAAGCCTTTAATAGAGTGAATGAACGCAGTCAGATATAGTTTCAATGCAACAATGACTATTAAAACTTATTCACACATATCCATAATTTTCCAAACACGCAATGACTCTATCATGGAATGATTGGCACACAACAACTTGACTCCTTCTCTTTAGAACGATCTTTCGTCTGAGAAGAATTGGTTCAGATGAACCATTTTCTTGGACGCTAATGATGTTAATGGCATTGATTGACATTTTCTTATTTGAAAATATTAACTCATACTGCCATTGCTCTTTTGTCTGATTCAACCAGTAGCCCCAAACTTCGGCATTTGGTTCCAGACTTAGCAAATTGGATATTTTTCCAGGATAATAGAACAGCCAGTACGGTTTATCCGACTCGGTATAGACTGGTATTATGTAACCCTCATGGTTACAAGCACTTTCATAGTTTCCTTTCAGGGAATTCCAGCCATCTTCAGTGAAGTACTTTCGAAACCTGGTAGTGAGATGTTGAAATTCTTGTTCGGTAATTTGCAAATCCTTAACCTCCAAATCTTTTTCTTCTATTGAATACTTGCCAGAAACGACTTCAGGTATCAGTTCCTTCTCAATAATTTTAGAAAGCAAGTTCTGAATGTCTGATGGTACAGATGTACTAGCCAGTGGGTCATGGGTTAGTTTTGAATCGTTTATGTTTCGTTCTCGTGTGATGTGAAAGATAATTTCTTCTGCATTCATCATTACTTTCTTTATCTGATCACTTCCATAATTGAGCGGCTTCTTAAAAATAATTCCTTCAGGCAGTCCAGTAACTGTAAAACCACCTTTTTTGTAAGGAACTCTACTGCCAGGAATCCCACATGCTTCACCTAAAGTAAAATAAGAGACGGAAGGTTTTGTAAGTCTTTCCGATTATTGCAATCTGTTAACAAGTTGATGATGTACATGTATGTACCTGACAGATTTACCTGTATAATGTAACCGACAGGTTAAATTACATCATAAATTTACAAAAGGCTATTTTTACAATTAAAAATATTAATCTATCATTATATAAAGTTATTAAAAGTGTAAAAAGTTCAGAAACTACCAAAGTCAAATAGGCCTAGAACTTCAAATCGATTGTTTACAGTTTTCCTTAAAATAATTATTTTGTATAGTTTTTAGTTCTAGTTTATTTAATTCTTCCATAGTTTCTTTCTACTTCCAATTATGTAACTAATGTCTTGTTATTGTACCGCAATCATTCCATATAATGGATATTAATAATACCAATTCTACCAATGTACTTTCAACCATTGGATAGTTCATGTGATGTAAATTCAAAGTGTGTGAGTTATTTTGCAGTGAAAGAAATCATCACAATATAATGTACAATCATTGAAAAATTTCGCTGTAATGTTCAACAAAAGTGCTTGTAATTTACAGTATATAAAATAACTTTGCCGACAGTATTGCTGCTCAAATAACCCCCCTCCCCCAAATCAATGTTGAATTGTTATGTTGAAGCCTTAGCGCATCTTGCCTGCGATATACTCTAGCATTTTCATCCAGGCAACATTGATTTGGAAGTGTTGGTGAGGGAGGTGTGTGGGAAGGGTGTGGTTGAGGGGGGGGGGGGGCGACGGCTCGTCACAATATTTTTGTCAATGATTGTATTTACTACTCCATTATGACCAAACAAAAGTCCCTTAAACATATAATTATAAATTAGCTATATTTTAGTTCATCAATACAAAATAAATAATTAAAAGCCATGGTAAGATATCAATCTACAAGCAGTACACACGTGTAGGCAATCCTCTCTCACACAAGCGATCATTATTTGGAAATAAGTGTGGTTTATACAAAACACTTACTATATTTCTCGTTGAACAGATTCTGGACATCGGCACGGGTATGTTGTTTGTCTTCCGCCGGGCGATCTGTGGAATTAATGTTGACTACTTTACTACATGTACACTACAGCAACTATGACACCAACAATACAGTAGGTATCAACAAAAGTAGTACAAACAAAACACACTGGAAACTCCAGGTAATATAGTCAATCAATTTTCCAAATGCTCCATTGCATTGTATTTAAAATTGTAAAGTACAAACTTAATAAATTACCGTAAATTACCGTATATTACTGGGCTTCATGTCAACTTTTAATAAAGTAGGAATTTGAATGTTTCAACATTTTAATAAATTGAAAATTGATTATTATGTATAAAATTGAATTTCTGAATTGGTAAAACGCCTATTTTGTTTGGAGTCACTATTGTATGATAGGCATAAGCTAAATTAATCTACAGTACATTTTAATACATTACCAAAGAATTCCATGAACTTTATTGCCACTGCTTCGTTTTGCATGAGAAACTGAACACCTTTGTTTGAACCATGCTGATTGATGTTCCCACTTGGTTCTATCATCACAACAGCCACCTCGCATCCCAGGTTTTCCAGATAAGAAATCTTTAAAAAAAAGTCTTCATAAATTGAATTGAAATTTACCACTTGGGTCTCCTCACCATCTTGAGAAGCAATGCAAGCAGTGAATTAATTGACCATATTCCTTATTCTTCATCTACTTTACATACCTCTTTCATGAGATTTTTTTTTGTCTTGGCAATGTGTTTTCGTCTTTCGTCTTCTCCCAGTTCTAGTGGACGTATTCTGTCAACCTGCTTGGCTTTGCTCTTCCAATCATTCTTTTCTTCAGCACTAAGAGCTTGCCATTGTGACGAAACAAATCTCATTTTCTCCGATTTTGAATCAATAGCCTTGCACAAGTCTATAACATAATGCAGTTAAACATATACATTAACTTCATTGTTATTTTAAACAGATGCAGGGGACACATACATAAATTAGAGGTATAAAACAGATTATACTTAGAATTGCAGCCTGACTCTTGTATGGCAGATAAAACAGCCAGTTGACTGCTAAATTTTGGTAAGCAAAACTCAATAACAAATAAAATTATGTTCTGTGAGTATCATATTAAATAAAGTGTTTGAACTTTGGCATATACTAGTCTTGTTATTCCAGGAAATTTGTCATATTTTTTATGTGATGGAGTGTATAATTTGTTTATACAAAAGCCAGTGGCATGGGTTCAAATTCTAGCCGAACATTAAAAGTTTGAGAATCGTTGAGGAAGGTACTCCAACTGATTGCAAAAAGCTGTAAATGTTTAAGCCTCCATGTCCCCTCCAGGGGTTAATGAAAAATTGCAGACAAAGTCACAGAAAACTATGAGTAGGAATATGCACATATGGTTCTTGTTCTGCTGAATAATAAATAACATTTATGACATTTATTCAAGAATCATTCTATATTTCAAGGTACCATATTTTCAATTTAGCCCCCAGGGGCCTATATTACATACCTTAACTACCTACTATATCTAAAGTGTGGGGCTATGTGTTACCAAAACCATTAGAGGAATTTGAAGAGTCCTTTCTGGAATTTGAAAGTCAGAAAGATATTTTTCATATCAGGCAACAGTGAAAGAATGCAATACAGAACAAATTGCAATATAACATGAATTTTTGTAATTGAGCCAGGATAGTGATTTACAGAACAGCCAATTTTCAATCACTTTCCACAAACATTTGATGCAAAGTGTGAACATGCACAAGTCAAATTCAGAAACCTTTTGTAACTGAAGGCTCTAATAATTTGTACTAGTGATTCAATCAAGTGCAAGTGATTTTAAACTGCATTTCTTCATTGTAAACATCATAATAGCATGAATGATTTTAGTACTATACAACTGTCTTTGTAACTTCTGGTCTGGATAAGACACTCTTAGATTTCACTGGTAAATACTGGTAGATGTTGTACTGTAGGGCTTTAAGGCTTATATCTTTCTGATGGTTTCTGAGAGGGCAGGCCCAAAAAATAGGCACCAGTCACTGTTTATTGACAGATAAAATTTTGCAGGTTCACTGGCAGATTCACTCACTTACTGGACATACTTGTGATCAGAGTAAAAAAGCAAAAACAATTGATTAAAAAGCTATGTAGTAGAAACAATATTTTTCATATATAAGATGTATTAGACTAGCTGGGTACCTACAATAATGCAATTAATGACATTTAACAAAAAGCAACAAGCTGTTATTTTATAACAACAGTAATTTGAATTTTATAACAACAGTATTTTGTAATAACTTAAAAATGTTAACAGTTGATCAAAGCATTATCAAAGCATTCACGACTGGTAACTTTTATACATAGTTAATCAGACATAATGGAATAACGACCAACATTATTTTGAGGCCTGTGAGGGAGGGTTGCTAGAGGGCAGAAACTGCTGGAGGAGCGTTAAATAAAGGATGGATAAGGGTATATGACATTTTTGCTGATGATAAGGAAGCATTTAATATTTACCTGAACTTAGCATGCTTGATGAAAATATGTTGTAGCCAGATGCTACTCTTTTAAGTGGAGGACCTATTCTTAGTACATTGTCATCTGAATCTTCATGCTTGTTTTCTTCTGTCCTACTTTCACCTAGCTTTCTCTTCCTTTTTTCATTTCCAATCCATTTCTACACAAAATTTCAGTATCAACTGTGAAATACAGTTTACAACTTTACACCTACCCAGGTGGTACTATATGTATAATACTCGGAAATTTAAAAACGCCAAAGATAAAGTATCTGACTCTTGGTTCACATAATACTGACAACAGTGACAGTCCTTATAAACTTTATAAAGCCTTTATTAGTTTAAAACTTTCAGTCGCCATTTTGAAAATGCAAATTATTTATTTAGACGTCAAAATCGCAAATGTCTAATAACAATTTGGCTCATATACATACTTTGAACTTCATGTCAAGTTCCAATCAATACAAGGCATCCTATATTTATATATTTTAAGGTATTTTGGAAGTACATACCTTTACTTGGTCGTAGGTTGCCCCAGCTTGTTCAGCAGCTCTCAGTATTATTTCCTGCATATGTTTTGCCGTCGTGTTCATTCCATTGTCATAAAACGCCCTAAGAATGATCTTTTGATCATCCGTCAAATTGTTGTAGCTTCTAAAATTAGTGGCCATCAGCAATATTTAGAAATTTTGACGAGTCCAAGAGGTAAGCGCAATATACAGTGGGCAAGAATGCGCGTGAGAATGTATACACGCTCGTATATGCATGCTAATTGTGCGCTTACAAAATAACTCGTTCCCAGTACAGCAAACAGCGAACGCGTTAGATGGCTCAGATGATCATCCCATGTCACATATATCCGATGTTCTAAAACTTAGAATTCTCAATATATGTGATTTAGAACACGCGGAACGGGTGTTTCTTAAGGGAACATTCCATTAACCTAAATACCAATCTCATATTCCCATTTATCTTATGTTGGCATTACGCTGTGCTAAAAGATTATTAGTTGATAAAAAATACTGATTACGATACTTGACGAGACTTGATTACGTCATCAAAGATCACAGGTTGTGGAGAACGAAAGTTACAAAGATCTTTATCTAAAATCGGTATTGTTTTAGATGCTGTATTGTCAACGCTGTATCGCCGCTCTTTACGATGTAGGATATAAACATTGAAAGGTAGGATATTCATTAATAACCTTGAATCTTGCTCCATGCAGCAAGACAGAACTCAGAATCGACTAGAAACCCTGCGCAAACTAACCTTATATCCAGCAATATTTTTAGTTATGCATCATTTGTGTTTGGTCGAGTTTATTAATTTAATTGACACGGGTATTAGTGATTACTATAGCAAGCAAACTTTTTATCCTTGAATTAAGCAGTGTCAGACCGTTGAGACTTAAAATATCTCTTCTAGAGCTGATCTAGAATAGTTAATTCGTCTCCAGGACTGAAACTAGATGCAAACTTTGAGGCACGGCATATTCGTCAATTCGTGTATTTGTCTTGGGTGCTCGACTGATTTCTTTTGAAATCGAATTCTTTTAATATTACGCTTTGTGAAAAGGCCCTTGTAAATATACATCCCAAAATAGCGCATGTAGTTTCGGCATTACCTATAATATAAGTCATATTCGAAAAAATATCTGAAATTAAAAATATATTGTAGCGTTTAAACCTTTAAAGACAGATAATTGCTAAAAAAATTGGTCAATACCACACGTCACAGCAGGATTCCGAAGCGACTGGGAATTATTTGATGATTGATCGAGCAATATAATTAAACAAAAAGCTTCTAAAATATCATGAAATTAATCCCATGAATTCGCTTTGAATCTGGCTTGCTTTGAATTCGGTTGGCACTTGGTCTTTAGTTGAAACCACGAACGCGGCCTGCTTTCCTTCCGGGGTGAAACTGGATATTATTTAAAGGAATTTCTTATTAACATCTGTACAAAGAAAGAAAGCTCGGCGATTTGCCGTGCAAGTACTGAGGCAACCGCCTTAAATAAAAAGTTGAAACGAGCAACCACATCGATCAACAACATGCCGGTGTGTCAGCAGCAGAGTCTGCCAAGAGCCCATAACTCTGCTATGATGCACAAGAACTCTGGTAAGGCTAACTCTAAAACTATTCTGCCGACGCTGCCCGACGAGAACCCAACGCCTGTAGAGCTAAAAGATTTTATGGATGATAATGACGCTGTTGACTGTTCCACTCCACACCAAATACAAACGGATAGTGGCTCGGCTTCTATAGAACAGCAATTTACTAAGTTAAAAGAAATTATTGAAGAAAAAGGTTGCGGCTTCAACAGCTAAATGCTTCGAACAGACTCAAACTATTCACAATTAAACAACACTAAACAAGAGTTATGTAAATTAGCAAAGGAAAATTTAGTTTGAGGTCACGTTTGGCTATGCTCGAGGAGAGAGGGTTTTCCCTGAAAATAAACCTACTTTACCAACGGTATCTGGCAGTAGCAGGAAAGAGAATCAAGATCTAAGAAATGAGATTGCAGGACTAGAAGAAAAGCTGGGAAAGCTTACTCAAGAAATCTCGAACAAAAGTGGCGTAATGGCCGCCGATCAAGAAGCCAACCATGCTGCGCAGTCAACTGATAAAGATAAGTCCATAGAATTCATTAGTGCACAATACGATGACATTATTCAGTTTAAAAGTAACACAGTCAAACAACTTGAAGACATGAAAAAGCAAATCAGCACTATATCTAAAAAATGCGAAGCAATTGCGACTTCAATTGACCAAATTGAGGACTATAGTTATCAATATAACATAAAAGTCGTCGGAATGAATCAGCTGAGTAAACAACTCAAATGTGCTTAAAGCTATTCGCTGCTTTGGGCGCCGATATTTCGTTGCAGGATATAGATATTTCGCATCGGATTCCTTCAAGAGGACAAACCAGTAAACCGAACGCAATAGTATGTAAGTTTGTCCGTCGCTTGGCTAAAGAGAGAGTTATTGCTGCCAGAAAGCGAACAAGCAATATTAAACCACAACAACTAGGATTATCCCCAGAGGCTCAACTTAATAACCTTAACATCTTCGAGCATTTACCACCACGCCTACAAAATATTTTTCGAAGCCAATAAATTCAAACGTACAAACAATTTCAAGTTCTGTTGGACAAGGAATAAGGTTATTTGTTTCCGAAAGTCAGAAAATGACAATGTTATCAAGCTTGTCAATCTACAACAACTTATTGACTTATGTCAAGGGCAACGCTTGTGAATTTTTTTCCTTCAATATTAGATTGTTATACACTGTATTTTTTATATTGTGTTATAGATGGCAGTTAATAATTACTTAATTGATACTCAGCCGCCGCTACCTTTTCACCACTTAGATGATGTAGCATTTAACGCAGTATTATATGAATATGAACATGGCCCATTAAACTTTGATACTGATCGATTAGAAACTCTAATTTTCAATCCAATCGAACATTTGCCTTCTGTGTGCGAAAATTCTTTTATTAATAACCTTGATCCAGATATAAACCTCAGCGAGCTTATGCCACCAAATAGCAGCTATATGACTGAGAATGAGGTTAATAACCTATTAGGGGATTCATCGGATTGTTCTGAAATGTCTTTTTTGCATGTTAATTGTCGTAGTCTTTTTGCCAACTTCGATAAATTCAGAGTTTTAACTACTAATTTATCAAATTCATTTTCAGTTATCGGATTATCCGAAACCTGGCTAAATGACAGACGTCAGGATTGGTAAAATCTCCCCGGTTATAACTTCATTTCCAGTCATCGATTAAATAAGACAGGTGGTGGAGTAGGTCTATATATTAGAGACCACTTTCGCTTTAAATTGATTCATGACTGTAAAATTTCTAATAATCGAGTCTCTGTTTGTCGAAATATCAAATCCCAAAGGTAAAAATGTTATTATAGGAAGTGTTTACCGCCCACCTAAACAAAATCTAGTTTCCTTTATGAACGAATTCAACAAAATTCTTTCAATTATCACAAAAGACAATAAACAATGCTATGTTATGCGTGATTTCAATTTGGATTTATTTAATTATGATCACCATGCATTTACACAAGAATTCATGGATTCTTTGTTTTCGCACATGTTTATTCCGCTCATTAATAGGCCCACCCGATTAACTAGTTATACAGCTATACACTAATAGATAACACATTTACAAACTGTTTTTCTCCAAATAGTATAAACGGACTGATCTTGAACGATATATCTGATCACTTGCCGGTGTTTGCAATTAATAGGACCCAGACGTGGCATGTAAAAATCAGACCAACTATTATAAGCGTGATTATAATGACTTGAACTTTACCAAATTTCAAACAAAATTATCACAGGTTGATTGGAATAGTGTGTTTTTGGGCAGGATCCGAGTGAGTTATATAATTCTTTTGCTGCAGAATATCACCGACATTTTGAAGAATGCTTCCCCCTTAAAATAATTAGGTGCAATTCTCTTGGCAAACCTAAGTCACCTTGGATCACTAAAGGTTTACTAGCTTCTGTTAGGAAAAAGAATAAGCTGTATAAAAAGTATCTTGCAAACCCAACTCCAGCGCGCCATTCTCATTATAAGAGATACAAAAATAAATTGACCCACTTAATCAGAATAGCGAAGAAGCATTATTACGACAAAAATTTTGAACTAGCTAAACGAGACATGAAGAAAACATGGAAATTAATTAATGAGGTTACAAATCTTAAAACCAAGAAAAATGCATTACCATCCATATTTAAATCCAATGACACGATGATTAGTGACCCCATTGAAATTGCCAACGGTTTTTGCAACTATTTCACTGAAATTCGCCCATCAATAGCTCGGAAGATTCTCCCAACAAATCGCTTATTTCATGATTATCTAGGGCCTACCATTAGCGAAACAATATTCCTCAGGCCAACCACCAATAATAAATTAAGAAATATTTGTATGTCCTTCAAGAATGGCAAGGCACCCGGTCACGATAACATACCTATGCATCTTATCAAAAGGTCGTTTGAATTAATATCTGAAGCATTAAAATATTTAATCAATATATGTCTCTTGAAACCGGAATATTTCCAGATAAACAAAAAATAGCCAAAATAATTCCTATTTTCAAGACTGGCGAAGCAGATATATTTACAAATTATAGACCATGCAATTTCTATCCTATCGAGTTTCTCAAAAATTTATGAAAGAGTTCTCTATAACCGTTTGGTAGAATTTATTGATAAGTTTGAAATTTTTTATCCATATCAATTTGGTTTCCGCTCTAATCATTCTACCAATTTTGCTCTTATTCATTTGGTAAATAAAATTGCAACTGTTATTGACAGGAAAGAAATAACTGCTGGTGTTTTTTTAGATTTGTCCAAAGCTTTTGATACTCTTAATTATGATATTTTATTCTCTAAACTCGAACGGTATGGCATTCGTGGAGTAGCGTTAAATTGGATTAAGAGCTATTCTAAAAATCGTAAACAATTTGTTCAGTTTAATAATGTTTCTTCCACTCAAAAGTTTATACAGTGTGGTGTTCCTCAAGGATCAATATTGGGTCCATTGTTTTTTATCCTATATGTAAATGATCTCCCAAATGCCTTACAACTGGCAAAGCCTTTATTATTCGCAGATGATACTAGTATCTGTTATTCTCACTCGGATCCTGCAGTTTTGGTCACAGTATTAAATAATGCGATATTAAACATCGACATATGGATGAAGGCTAATAAATTGTCCGTTAACTTTAACAAAACCAATTTGTTATTTTCCAATCTAAACAAAGGAAACGTACGCAAGATTTGTCTCTCTCAATTGATGGCAAATTAATCACCAGAAAACAACAGATCAAATTCCTTGGTGT